CGGCTCCCGGTCGCCTCTTGCGCTCAAAACTGTCCGCTGTGTTTTGTCCAAAGCAGTGTTTTGTATTGTGGCTTGCCGCCCGTCTGTCAGGTGCACACGCACTCACACGCACTCACACGCACTCACACGCACTCACACGCACTCACACGCACTCACACGCAACACATGCGCGCACAGCGGGAGCCCGTTCCAATGCAGCCCTTTGCCGTGTGGAGTCTGATAAGGCTGGAAAGTTGCGGCTCCCCTTTCCCCCATAATGCAGCTGGACTGCATCGTCCCAGATCAGCAGATCAGCCCAGCAGCCATCAGGACCAAAAAGTCTTTCTCTGTTAACGATGAAACTGGGTGTAATGGTTAGAAGCTGAAACGTGAACTGGGCATAAAAAAAAAGACAATAGCAACAGGACCCCCTAACTGAGCTGTTCAAGGATCTCAAAGCACTATGCTAAGGAGTGAATTAGACTTTTATCTGCCTGATTTCTGTTGGAATTTCCATGAAACGTCCCACACAGTACTGCGAGCACAGGCAGAGAAATTTGTAACGCTGTTAATCGATCAACCTGATTGTACAGCAAGTATGGCGGAGCTCGTGACAGTAATAAAAGGCATGAGCTGTGTTGGGGGAAATTAAAATTTTCAGATCATGGAGCTACATCATCATCTGTCAAACTTTTTTTTTAATTCAGTGCTGTATCTTCTTTTGTAAATGGGGCAAAAACACAGGTCATAATTAATTGTTCTTGAATGCATGTGCCAGACTTCAACTGTCTGGAATTTCATGTGAGCCTTGTGGTGTTTTCCAATATCAGTGGGCCTGTTCCTTTCTGACATGTGTACATGCATTTTTAATTTAGACTTTTGTCAAGAACCCACCCTTTTTTTGTAAACACAATTGAAATGACAGTGGTGTTCAGTTAAACATTTAGAAAAACATGACGTTAAATATTGAGATGGGGGAATAGTGGTTTCTATGACGCAGTCTATTCATTGATTATAAATAATTTCAGGAATGTAAACGCCAAAACTGACACAGAACACAATAGCGTGATTCCCCACTTCTGGACCCCAGCTCCCACATTATGAGGGGGTAGTCCTGCACGATTGCAGAGCGCGGGTTTACCGGTGCATTAAAGGGTCTGGTTGCAAAACTCTGTGCTGTCTATCAGTGTGTTCAGTGTTGCCAGATCGCTGCCCTCCTGGTCGTCCTGTCGTTTCGAATGGATCGCTCTGCTGCACGCTTCTTTATTTGGGTGGGGTGCTGCTGTCAGCAATGAACCTGAGGGGGGAGCGTCTGTGTCCCTCTCACTGTGCTATGCTGGCGTTCCTCTCCCGGACGGCGCCCCCTGTCGTCCGTGGTTACGCTGTTTCTCTGGCATGGCTATCTGCGCAGATGTGGTCCTGACTTAGAGACAAGGACTCACCAGTCATTATTTCAGTTGCAGTAGGACCTCAAGAGTTGTGACTGGGTTGCTTTGGGTCAGCTCAGCATGGAACATAAATGCCTGCAGCAACAATATGCTATTAATTCCCAGCGACATTGGGTTCAGAACCTAATGACGACACATGTGCATGGTGCTTCAGCAGTCCCCCAGCTGGTGGAAATGCTGTGGTAAATGCTGTGCTCTGAACCCCACTACTACAGTGCTGTGCACTGAAGCTTGAAAAGCTCTCCCATTCCAAAACTAGTGGTAGGTTTCAAAGTGTGTATAGATCATTCTGATTAGATATTTATAATTGGGATTTTTCTGTTTTTCTGAAAAATCTTCCTCAGTTTTGTAAGCCAAAATGAAGGCACAGATTAGGACAGTATTGGGACACTGTTCCTTTAGTCCTGTCATGTATGACCCATTTCAGAAAAGATGTCTTGACCACTTGTGTGCAAAATGAAAAGCCAGAGGAATTGCAGGAGGGCTTGATGTCTTTTAACATGCAGTGATATTTGTGTGCTTCTGAGGATGGTTGCCGTTTTCTTCTGCTAAAAGTTTATCCATCATGCCACCTGCCCCCTGCCCCCTGCCCCCCCCTCCCTCTCTCTGTCTCTCTGTCTCTCTGTCTCTGGTGTTAAAACTGCTCATTTTTCTCAACAGTATGACATCTCAATCAAATTTACTGTTGGGGAGGGAAGAGGGTGTCTTCTGGTACTGTACTCCTTTTCCATCTTTGCTAAGTTTGGAGGACTTTTTTAAAGGGGTAGTCCACACAGAGGGCTCACTCTGGATCCAGTTTGCACTAGAGAATTGAGGTCTCGCTATATCAGCGTACTCCCAGTCCTGGACTTAGAGAACCGTTGTTGTTTTTTTAAGCATTTAGTGATTACCCCGAATTGACTTATTGTTAAAGGTTTAGGGCAAGCGAGATGATTTCAATTTCAGCTTCAGTTCAGTTCAGTTCAAGCTTCTTTTCTCCCCTGGGGGAAATGTGTTTTACTGCAGAGTCCACAACGCACTACAACAAATACAGACAAACATCCCCAACAGAGAATTCAGTACGGCCCTGCAGAGGAGATGAAAGATTTCCTGGGTCTATTTCTGTTTCACCTAGAGGCGAATCCCAGAATGGAGTATTCCAAATTTCCATTATTGAACTACTGTAGTTTTTAGAAACTGATTTAAGAGTGACCAACTGAGGGAAAATCTTGCTGGACTGGTGCTCCTCAAGACGAAGGGGTAGTGTCGTCTTTATTCTCATCACAATAACAGTTAAGTGAGCAGCCATTCCATTATGGCAAAGGCGCAGAGTTACTGTTGTGTTACTGTTGGTGGCCTTGATGGAGGTAATTCTCTCACTGAGGATCAATCCAGTACTGTTTAGTCCAGATTACTTGTGACCCTGACTAGCATGGCTGTGTCCTTCCACCAGCTGTGTCTTTTGTGGGCTTCAAAAAGTAATACCCAGTCACGGGCAGGTCCGTAGAGAAACTCAACGTATAACAACAGCAGAAGTGGCCCGCCCTGAAGGAGCTACCCACTTCAGCTAGTCCCTCGGATCTTGCCTGTATCCTGCTGTGTTCTCGCATGGTATCATTTCCTGTCACTTGCTACAATCCAATTTGCCACGCCATCTCACTAGATAACCCTCCTGATGCCCCTGATATTCACAGGGCCAGCACTGGGGAAGCAAATTGGTGCCGTACAGCAGCCCGCCATTGTGCAACGCTGTAAGGTATCCCCAGCTGCATTTCTTCAGTCAACCAGAGGGGGGCGGGGGGTCAGTTTTCAGTTGTCAGTCAGCGCAGCGAATGCAGAAGCCACCACTAAGGCATTGCTCAGGGTGACTAGTTGCTATGGCGCTGCTCAGAAGGGGTCCGGGACAGTTCTGAGAGGAAGAGGAGGGCGATTACCCTCCTGAAGCTTCAATCTCTCAGCTGCCAAAACCATTTGACAATGCAAACTGACAGGAAGGTATACGCACAGAGAGACAGGAAGCTCTGCGATTTTAAAATCAGCAGGCGTAGCACAATTACCAACTGCCAAACACAATTTAATTTTGCGCAGACCACCTTAGTAATATCTGGTGGCCTGGCCTAGGGTCTGACAGCAGAATTCTGGTATCCATTGCCACAAGCACTGATTATCCTGACAATTCTACTGAATTTGGCAGAAGTTGTTATAAAATGCAGCAGAGCTTTTTGGAATGTGTACTCATTCATATAAATACATATATTTGTAAGATGTGTTCAAAGTTAAGGAGGAGCAGCTCACTGATGCATAATGGCTTCAGCCCACCGATCAGTAATATTCTGTGATGTATTCCCAGTTGTAGTGTCCCTTCGAAAATGAAAACTTCCCTGCTGCATGGAGAGAACCTGTCATGCAGGATGAGAAAAAGAAGGGAGATGGGCTGTGCTTTGCCTGAGTCAGTCTGTTCACTGACTACCCCTTTAAAGAGTCCCAATGTGCAGAATGAATGAAAACTTCCTAACGTGCTTTGAAGTGTCTCTTTTTGATGCAGTATGGAGGAAATTAACGAATGAGTGTGTGTGCTTGCATGCAGAGACTCAGATACACAGATCTGGCCCCCCCGACCTCCAGCCTCGATTGTGCCTACTGGCTTTATTGTGCAGTGGTGTGTGTTGCTGTAATGTGCCAGCAGAGGTCACCGGGAGCCAGGAGGAAGTTTTTTTTTAAACATGTATTCTGCCGTTCTTCCGTTTTCGGGAAGATGTTTGCCCTCCAATATTAATTCTCCTCTGTTAGATCACTCTTAGGCCTGGCCTTACCATTCCAGCATTAAATACAAACACAAACAGATTCTCTAAATCAAATAAGTGATGCATGGGAAGGATATCACTGTTCACAAGCCCCACTTTATGATGAATATAAGCAACGTGACAAGCGAGAGGAGGCCATTAGGCATGTCTAGCCCACTTGGTAGTGAATAGTTAATTGGTCTCAGGATCTCATCTTGCAGTTTCTTGAAAGAAGCCAGAGAATCGGCTTCAACAACATGACTGGGCAGTTTGTTCCACACTCCCACCACCCCTTTGTGTAAAAAGGTGCCTCTTTTCTTAGTTTTAAAAGCACTTCCACACAGTATCCCACTTGTGCCATCTGGGTTTTCTTTGACTGCTCATTTTGAAGACGTCTGCTGGGTTGATTTTACCAGTGCCCTGGAGGATGCTGAATATTGGTATCTTGTCTCCTCGTAGTCTTCTCTGTTCAAGACTGACAGGGCTGAGTTCTTTCAGCCTGTCAAGAGTAGGACAGTCCCTACAGCATTCCTTTAGATTATTGGCGCAGACTACTTTTCAACAAAGTAAGGGACCCTCCAGGATGGTGAGGAGGTGGTCTCTCGAGAGAGACTTCTGCAGCTAGACCGTTATTCTGCAGGCTTTAGAGGATCTGAAGACTCCTGTGCTTGATCAAGTTCCTGACTGGGCCTTCTCATTTAGTTTCAGTGAAGTGGTTAAGTTGCTGGTACCTCTCATTTGAAATCATAACATTACCACTAGACTTGTGATTCTGAGCCACCGGCTCCTCTACTTTCCATTATGTCAGAGCTCTTCATGACTTAATTGAATCAATGATGGACTTGATTGCCCTTAATTGCGTGCATTTCCGAAACGAGTCATTATTTCCATTGCGTTCCGTACTCGGAAGCCCTGCAGGACTGTGGCTCTCCAGCAGCAAAAGAAAGGAGCTCTTCCCCGGACTAGTCAAGCTCTGTATAAATTTACTAGCCAGTACATTTGAGCTGTCAGGGGCTACTGGCATCTCTCATCACCTGATGAGAGCTGGAATTAGCTGTGAATGCAGAGGTACCGTTCTGCGCTAATTAAATCCCATATACAGTGGGCTGACAACAGTGCCGTATACATAGACCTCCTGCATAGTGTGTAGTGTAGTTTAATAATAATTGCTTACACTTTTATATAGCACTTTCCTGGACACTCCTCTCAAACCTCTTTACCCCAATTGGGGATCCCCTCCACCACCACCAGCGTGCAGCCCCACCTGGATGATGCAACAGCAGCCATAGTGCGCCCAGTACGCTCCCCACACACCAGCTCGCAGTTTGTGTGTCTCTGGTTAAAGGACATATCTGGACTAGGGTTCACTTAGGACAGTAGATTGTAAGTCATAAGTCATACGCCACCTGTGGTTGGCACTGCCAGCAGATGTATTGTAGAATTGTGGTGTCAGTAGTGTAGAGTAGGAGAGTGTCTGGAATTGTG